ATCCAAGTATTATTCAATTACATTTGATTGTATTGTCCTTCACTTATTAAAAAAAATTTCGCTGAATTTATTCATCTGTGGGCAAAGACTGATAATCACACATTTCTGTGTTTCTTGAATATCCGGCAGAATCCCTAAAAGCCTTTTTCTTTGAGTATATCCTTTTTAAATGTTACTATATATGACCGTGAAAACATTTTAGTCCCATATAATAACGTGTTTTATTGCTTTATCAATATCTATCATGTCAATTATCGCATTAGAAAAAGAAATATCTCTAATTCCATCATAGTTTAATGGGAAACTTTGATGATAACCTTAATGGATTTCTCATCATAATTAGTATTTGAATGATATTCCTCTGTGGTTTGATTTGCGGAACTTTAATTAGTAAATTGAATACACTAATATGAATAACAAAATCAAGATTACTATTACCTGGACGCAAATAAGCAGAATTAGCATTGATGCATGAAAATAACTAATACATTAAATTATTAATGCCTATACGCAGATTAATATTAAGGCTGAATAAAATAGTCTGACTCATTTAATTTTAAATAAGTAAGTCCATAGAGATTTATATATATCAAGAGTATCCTAGATCGCTTGAAATTCAATTATGCACGCATGCTTAGAATGAATATAAGATTATTCATTCTTTAAAAAAATCTGAATAAAATTGAGTAAGTAGCTCAAGAATCTGGAAATACCATGATGATTATTGTTGGATATCTGCAGAATAATCAAATTATATATCCATAATTAGGTATAACATTCAGCTCCTTCATATTTTTCTGAAGTTACTGTTGTCAATGCTTTACTGTTTTTTCATAAACTAATTTCTTATAAGGTTTCAGTAAAGCTATGCCATTATTTAATGGGCAAAGAGTATGTAATCTTAGAAGTCAAGTTTGAGGACCTTAGGAGCAAAATAGCAAGCCTCATGACTAATTAATTATGGTGTAATATCCTATATTTTTCTTTTAACTCTGATTTGCGCCAACAAACATGAAAAATTTAAATGTTATATAGCTTCTGGCTAAATTTCACTAATATGTGCGTATCTAATAATAAACTACTATTTTGGTTACTCATTAGACTGAAGACTAAAGTGGTACTATCCCTATTGTGGTCGAAGCTTCCTTTCCCTGTATGTGTTGGTATAACTTTAGTTCGCAAATAAGTCTTGCTATCAGAGTGAGCTCAAAAAACGTAACTTTTCCGGCATCCCTAGTTATACTAATTATGCTAAATTCCTGTTTTTAGAAGCTTACAATATTTATTGTCCGAAGCTAAAAATTTTCCTGAGTCTATGATACATAAGATACATTCATTTTAGTCAGTATTACGACATTGACAATTCGCAAAAGCGAGGAAAAGCCAATTATGATTTTAGTTCGTTTTACTATAATGTCATAATGTTAGTGAGTAGTTTTCGAGACTACCAGTAAATATAGTATATTAGTTGTGTACACCCTATTTCGTTTAAGATGATGAAGAACTGGTAGTTAAATTTTTCCACAATGATATGTGTTAACTGACGCTCTTATTGAATTTGACATAGACTTTTTTTCCCAATAGTTGCTATCATCCAGGGCAGACAGCAGTTTCGACCTCGCCTAGGTCTTATTAGCATCCCTAGCGGGAGTCGAACCATGGCAGTGCAGCGAATAATATCAACACACATTATGTGTTGAGATTGTTGATTAACTAAACTTATATTTGCTATCGTAAACGACTTCATTATTATTTCGTTAGTGAGTATATATATATGATTTACTGGTAGTCTTACTTATGTATAAAAGTAATGTCGTTGATTTTCATAGCAAATAAAATTTCGCTGTCTCGAATGTGTTAGATAAAATTCCTGACCTTTTTGAAATTCACATGTGCCCTCTGACCCTATGGCACTCGTGGCAATGTAGCAAGATTACACGCTGGGATGTCATAGTTCAACTTTCGCTTAGGGTGTTAGTAAGACCTGGGCAAGTTCAAAACTGCGGTTCAGCCTGGATGAGAACACCTTTTTGGAAAGCAAGGCTATGTGAGATTCAATGGAAACTTCAGCTATACTCATATCATAGTGATAAATTTAAGCTACCAGTTCTTAATCGCCTTAAACGAAATAAAGTGACACAACTCATATATTTTTTATAATCCCAGATTATCAATAAAATAATCTGAATAAATTTATGTTATTCTGACAACATTTAAAAGATATATGCATAATTAATTACTTATTTTAAGGATGTGATGGATAACACTGTTAAATTTATTATCAATAATAATAATCTATTTCATTTGGACTTCTAAGCTAATTCACGTTAGATGTTTTAGGGAATATAATTACGCCTGTCTTGTGTCTGAATTTCTTCCCAACTATATTTTAGGAATAATTTTATAAGTCCATGATTAAATAAGGCTTGACTTAAGTTCGAGGGAAAGGCTTTAACTAGTAAGTGATAGTAATAAGGAAATATTCAGCCAAAAATATCGGGTGACATATATATAATGGCTGTAGGCACTACGATAATAAAAAGCTGTGAATAAGTGCGTTTAATGGTAAAGTAGGGCGAAGACCTTACTTCGTATCTGAATTCAACTCGGCCCATTTTTAAAAAAAGTTTATTTTCCAAAGGAAACTATAGCTTCGCTTTTAATAATATTTTTAAGGCACTAAACGAGTATATATATTATAACTTTTTACAATGCGGTTTCTATTAGTATTAATGCATTACTCTTATACATTAGTTCACTTATAGTTTTATGAAAATGCGTGTGTTCGCGTTCTGATAGTTTATAATCGTCTATTGGAAAAAGATTTATTTGATTGATACTAATCAAATTCCTAAAAAATATAATTATGAGTAAAACCCATTATGATTTATAATTTTTGCGAATATTTTATTAATAAGCAGGAAAATAATTTTAACATTTGAGAGTAAAATCTTAACAATTACAAGTATGATGAAAAAAATAATATCGCCTTATTAACTTTTTAGAATACAAAATGTAGAACATAGTTATGAGCTACATCAGTTTTGATGGGGTAAGAAATATTAAAAAAGATATATAGTTTATTCTTTAAGCATGTAGTTGAATAACTATAGATTGGTATGCATATTATTTTGCTCTGAGCAGCTGGATAAATGGGCTGATTCACCACTTGAACGTAAACTAGAAGAGATATCATCCAAAAATATTGCTTCTTTTAGAATTATATCTTCACTATCTAGAATATCGTGTTCAATTACATTTATACTTTTAGTTTCTTTCATAAATTCATGAGGCATTTCATTTTCTTGCCTTGAAGCATGTTTTACATACTTTTGGATGTTACAACGCTGTAAATGTTGGATATCATCGTTTACGTTTAATGTAGTAATGCTTTTTCTAAATTCAGTGACATTTGGTTTTTCTAACTGAAATTTATTGAAAGCGTACGGTTTTTCAAGGAAGCCTACGTGATATTTCATGAAAAAAGATACCCGAATATAAGCTATATGAAGAAAATTAAACACTAGAACGTGAATGGAATTGGCGGCAAAATTTCGAAGTATACTAATATTTTCCTTCTTATATGACTCTTCAAGACATGGGACAAATATGGAAGAATTTTTAATGGTTTTTTCATGCTGCTCAGCTATCCAAGTCAGATTATTTTTTTGAAGATGCAATAAATTAATCTGAGGTAAGCAAATTGGCCATCGAGCGATGCTGCCAAAGTACGTCTTCAAGACTAATGTCATATCCTCTGGAAAAGCACACATTTGGCTATCAATACAATTTGTCGCTATTCTTAAAGTTTCTTTATAGGCATTTTCCCATATACGTGAGACAGAGTAAGAGTAAATAATAAGAAAAGCATTTGAAATAAGAACATATTCAAGTGTTCTAAAAATATGAATAAGATATACCGGAACTTTTTGCTTTTTCCTAGTAACAAGGTAGTGGTATAAACAAAATAAGTATGCAACTGCATCATTTATAAATAAGGCGATTATAAGTAGAAAGCTTGTCGCCGGAAAGCCAATACTGAATCCATAGAGAAAATATTTAAAGAATTTATCCTTATAAAGTACATCAGAATAAAGATGAAATGAAAAATAAAGTCCTGGTAGGTACTGAAGAAAAGCTGAAATAAGGAGGAAAAATCCAGTCAAGTAATCCAGAGTAGCAGGCAATATCTAAACAGAAAAATCAATATAGATCCATTAGAATTTGCCTCGCATTAAATATATTCGAATATATTTTTTACCATTTTGTTATTATTTATAATTATATATTGCCTTTTATCAATTTCTTATTTGTGCTAATTGTTTAAATAAATGCGCGAAGCCAAAGTTTTGGGCTATTGGAACTTATGTCAAACCTTTTTGCCATTACCGACAACTTGGGGTGCACCAAGGTACATCCTGCACGTTACTTCATTTTATTTATATTGTCGACTCTGCACTTATTGTTTCGAACATACTTTATTGAGTGTTCATTCACATAAATTTATATTTTGTGCTCTATTCTTTCTCATGGCAGATCTTTTAATGGACTATAGAAAAAAGGCCCCTATTTCAGGCAAATCTCCTGATTCTCAGAAGTCTTTCAATAATTACTGCTCATTTTTTCAATCGCCAAAGAAGAGATTTTCCAATGTTGATCCAACTAGCGCAGTCCATCTTGTCGGACCGATGTTCGAGCTCACTGCTCATGTTGATAGAAGAGGAGGGTAATGTTGTGGTCACAAAATCCTTTTTCTTGACGAAATTTTTCTAATTATTTGCCATTAAATTTTAGAACTGATGACTTTGACGCTTTTTATCCTGATTCTGCGCTTTCGTATGGTCCTACAATTTGCTCTTTTGGTCTTAATTACAATGCAAGTTGACCTTGAACTATGGACTTAGACTTTTTCCGTTTTTACTTCCCATTTTTACTTACCTTTCCTTCGTGTTATATTTTTTATAAAGCAGTACTGTACGTATTCTTTGCGTAATTTGCAGATGAGCTAATTAGTTGCTTTATAGGTAGCATCGAGCGTGCTTCCTAGTTCTTTATTACATCGGCTTTCTTTGTTTTTATCATGTGTGTGTGTGTCGCCTCCACTTGATATTACTATACATTCTTGTCCTCCATGATCTTCATGACCTAGCAATAATTTTTCTCTACTTTAGATATTTGTATTTATAATTTACACTTTTAGGATCACAATTATGCCTTGCCTACGGGTCTTACGCCGCCTTCTATGGCACCACACCTAATGGATTTGAATATTCCGTCCAAGTCCCATTCATATCAAGAACCAGAAAAATATATTCCTTCTTTATCCTCGGTTGTAAATAGCCCCCTTTCCAGAGATACCAGAATCATACAAGATACTGTTGTGGATTCTAGCTGCACAGACCTCTCTGCAGCTCTGGCCAGTTCCGCTCCTGAGGGCATGTCAACGTTGACGGAATCACTTAAAAAATCTACCCTTCCTTTGTTTCATTCAGCAATATTGCCTAAACCTCCCAATCTTGAACCACCTCCTTGGGCCTCAAACAGGAAAAAACGCAAGGTTGTTTATCCAAGATGTTTCAAATGACGAACTTTTTATATTGCTTATCCTCATTTATGCCTGTTTTCTGCTTTTATCAGTCTCACCAAGGTCAAGAAAATGTAGAGCCTTCAAATGCTGGCTCTGAAAGTGGCAGTATTTCTGGGGATGGCGCCGAATCTATTGTTACTGGTGGAGGAATATCAACAAACAATCAGCATCGACCTCCTCCTCTTCCAATAAAAGAAGGAGAAGAAACCGAAGAAGCCCTTGCTGACACAAAGCGCACTCTTTTTGGAG